GTAGGCATAAGAAGGTTCTATGTTTTTTTGTTTCTTGTTTTTTTTTTTAATTTTTTGCATACTTTCCATTTTGTTACACAGGTCATTTAAAAGAGGGGAATTACAGGGTAGACATTTAATGAAATAACTATAGCATCAACAGGAATATTCTTAAGTACAATGGATTTTTTTTCCACACTGAAAGTGTGTGGCAGTGACGAATACAATGACTAATGACTATTTGTACAGTTTGAGGTAACTAATTGCGATGTTTTCATGACCAGCAGTTTTACCCACCATTACTTTTGTACCATGAGGGCAAATGTCAACACAGTGAAAACGGTGTGAATAATGTCTCAGTATTATTATGGAAACAGTTTTGATCTTGTGGACCCCCTAAAAATGTCTCAGGACCTTTAAGGATCCATGGATCACATTTTTTTTTTTTTAAAGATTTTATTTATTCATTTGAGACACAGAGAGAGAGAGAGCATGAGCTCCATGGATCACATTTTGAGAACCACTGCTGTATAGGAATCTATTGCAAGAAATATACCACACTAAATTTTTAAAAATTAAAAAAAATAAAGTCTGTTTCATCCAATACAAGTATTGCTCCCCTGACTTTCCTTTCTCTTCCATTTGCATGATAAATGATTTTCCATCCTTTCACTTTCAATCTGCATGTGTCTTTAGTATGAAATTAATCTCTTGGAGACAGCGTATTGGTGAGTCTTGCTCCTTTATCCATTCCATCACCCTTTGTCTTTTGATTGGAGCATTTAGTCCATTTTCATTCAAAGTAATTATTGATAGGTATGGCCTTAATGCCATTTTGTTGCTTGTCTTATGGTTATTTTTGTAGGTCTTCCCTGTTCCTGATTTTTCTTGTTCTCTTCTCGCATGGTTGCTGGCTTTCTTTAGGGATAGACTTGGATTCTCTTCTCTTTATTTTTTTGCATATCTATTACTGGTTTTTAACTTTTCATTACTATGAGGTTTGTATATAACATCTTATGCATATAGCAGTGTATATTAAGTTGATGGTCCTTTAGGCTGAACCTGTTCTTTACTCCTCTCCACAACACTAAGTTTTAGGTATATGGTGTCATACCTTATATCCTTTTATTTTGTGAATCCCTTGACTGATTTTTATAGCTATACTTAATTTGACTGCTTTTGTGCTTCCTATTTTTTTTACTCCTACTTACAGTCTTCCTTCCACTAAAAGAGTCCCTTTTAATATTTCTCACAGGGCTGGTTTAGTGGTGATGAATTCCTTTAACTTTTCTTTGGGAAACTCTCCTTTTTCTGAATGATAGGCTTGCTGGATAGAGTATTCTTGATTGCAGATTTTTTTTTCTTTCAGCATGTCGAATATATCATGCCACTTTCTTCTTGACTATATAGTTTCTGCTGAAAAATTAGCTGATATCCTTATGGGGTTTTTTCTTGTATGTTTTCTTTTCTCCTGAAGCTTTTAAAAGCAATTTTAATTACTGTGTGTCTTGGTATGGACCTCATTGGATTGATTTTGTTGGGGGCTCCCTGTGCCTCCTGGATCTGGATTTCTGGTTCCTTCCCCATATTTGGGAAGTTTTCAGTTATTATTTCTTCAATTATATTTCTTCAAATAAATTTTCTCCCCACTTTTCTGTCTCTTTATTATTCTTTATTATGCTTGGTGGTATTGCTGAGTTCCTTAAGTCTCGTTTCATCTTTTATTATTACTATTTTTTTTTTTTTTTGTCTCTCTCCTTTTCAGCTTGATTGTTTTCCATCACTCTATCCTCCAGGTTGCTGATCTGTTCTTTTGATTCCCCTAGCCTACTATTTCTTCCTTCTAGTTTATTTTTAATTTCACTTACTGAGTTCCTCTTCTCTGGTTGGTTCCTTTTTTTATGTTTTCTCTCTCTTTCTTAATGGTTTCACTGAGGTCTTTCACTCTTGTCTGAAATCCAGTGAGTATCTTTATGACCAATACTTTAAATGCTCAATCAATCATATTACTTACCTGTTTCATTTTAGGTCTCTTCCTATGTCCTGTTCTTTCATTTGGGACATATTCCTCTTTCTTCTCATTTTGTCTAATTCTGTCTGTTTCTTTGTATTGTGAAAGTCAGCTACATCTCCTTCACTTGAAAGTAATGGGCTTTTGAAAAAGAGGTCCTGTAGTGCTCTGCAGTGCAGTGTCCCCTGTTCACCAGAAACTGGCATTTCAGGGGTGTCTCCTATATGCATTATATAGGGCCTACAGTTATGGCTAAGTGACATTTGCCTTCAGTCCAGTTATCTGCAATGACTCACTTTGCCTGTTGTAGGCAGGATTTGGTTCCAGTTTGTTAGTGAGCGAGTCTTCGGTTGCCTCAGGTTTGAGTTGAGTCAGACCAGGCATTTGCCATAGAGGCAGTAGCATAGAACTGCTGGGTGCTTTCCCTTGTTTTGCCCTGATGAGCTTTCATTGGTGGTTGGGTCCTGCAGCCAGACTAGATGTCTGGCCCCAGCCCATGGCTGGGGCTGCAGTTGGACTGGTGTGTGTGTGTTTATTTTCCCCTCTCCCCAGGGTCGTGGTCACTTTGGAGTGGTACTGGTCTCTGTCAGGGCTGCTTGCACACTGCCAGGCTTGTGGCATCACTTTGTATTGTCTTCTGCCAATGGCATATTGGAGGGGGCAGGTACACAGGAGAATGCAAGGCAGGGCATGGTGCCAGCAAGAGCCACATAAGTTCACTGGACTGGGATCAAGGCAAGCTGGGTTTTAGGGTACAGGTTTGCAGAAGCATGGGGGCAGAGCGAGGGGTGTTAGCAAGTTATGTGGAGAATGTTGTGGTCGTGCTGGTTCCGGTGTCTAAGCTGGGGGTGAGGGGAGGGGAAATGGTACAGACCAACTCCTTTGTTCCTGGAAAAGTCTGTCATTGATTCCTGCCCCTCTAACTCATCTCAAGCACACACTCTGTGATGAGTAAACAAATCTCCCTCCCATATATATATATACACCAGGTGTTCAAACTGGTGCTTCTATTGCTGTATCTCCACAGTGCTGTTTGTTGTACTCATCTTTAAGGACTTGGACTGTACTCTCCCAGTTCTCCCACAGAGACCTCTGAGTTTTAATGTTCCAAGTGTTAAAGACCTGCTGATTATAAGAACTTATGAGATTCTGCCTCTCTGGTTTTGAAAGCCAAATATTGTGGTTCATCTTCCTGGTGCCTAGGGTGTCTATTTCTTTCCCCTGCACATGCTCAGCATTCCTCCCTCCCACAGACAGTCCCACAGAGAGTCCAATGGGTCTGTTTAGTTCCCCACCATCTCTTGGCCCTTCCTACCCTACTGTGGCCTCTTCTCTATATTTAGCTGGGTAGAGTCTGTTCTTCCAGTCTTTGAGGTCATTTTCTGGGTTATTTACACTGATGTGTATGTTATCTATTTGTATCCATGTGGCAAGGTGAGCTTAGGATCCTCCTACTCTGCCTTCTTCCAGATATAATCCCTGTACTGGAAAATTTTATTTTTTATTTTTTAAAGATTTATTTATTCACTTGAGAGAGAGTGCATGCGAGTGTGTGCGCATGAGTGCGGGGGAGGGGACGTGGGGCACAGGGAGAGAGAGAGACTCTCAAGCAGACTCAGGGAGCACAGAGCCTGACTCAGGGCTCGATCCCACGACCCTGAGATCATGACCTGAGCTGAAACCCAAGAGTTGAACACTCAACCAAGCCACCCAGTCACCTCTGTACTGGAAAATTTTAAACTACATATATTTCTATTGGGTTGCATGGATCTAGATCATGATAGAACTCATTTAAGAAGAGTGGTCACAGTCAGTTAATTTTTTAAGAAAGGAAAGACAAAGGTATGTCAGAGGGTTCCCAACAAATACTGTGCCATTCTTATGGCATTATCTTTCTTTGCCTCTTATTAATGATTTGTATATTTGGTTTATTTTTCGTATGGGACCATAAATATCTTTTTTTACATGACTGGTTTACTTAGTTTTATATTCCTTGCAGATTCTCATACTATATGTTAGAGTTGACCCTTGAACAACACAGGTTTGAACTGTTGGGTCCACTTATAATAAGTCAGCTTTTTCGATACAATACAGTATTGTAAATATATTTTCTCTTCATTACAATTTTCTCAGGAACGTTTTCTCTTCTCTAGCTTACTTTATTATAAGAATACAGTATATAATACATATAACAGAAAATATGTGTTAATCAACTGCTAGTGTTACTGGTTAAGGCCTCCAGTCAACAGTAGGCTGTTAGTAGTTTTTTCAGGGAGTCAGAAGTTATACATGGACTTTTGACTATGCAGGTGTCAGCACCCCTAATCCCCATGTTGTTCAATGGTCAACTGTATATGTACATTAAATTGAAATAATTGGTAAGCATTCTATTTTAATTTGGTCTTAGATGATTAATGAGTTTAGTTTATCTGTTATCATATTTTCATATTTTTCATAATTTAATAAAATTATATGAAGGCCTTAGAATCTTAATTTGATCTATTACTGTATCAAAAAATACTGTTTTCCTTCCAAAATGTGGTTGACATCTGTAGACACAAACTAAATCAAGTATTTTTTTAGGATATAAAGATCAAGAATGCAGACTCTTGGAAAAGTTTAGGCAAACCAGTCAAAACATCTGGTGTACTGAAATCCTCAGATGAGCTCTTCAACCAATTTAGAAAAGCAGCAATAGAAAAAGAAGTAAAAGCTCGAACACAGGAACTAATACGGAAACATCTGGAACAGAATACAAAGGAACCAAAAATATGTCAAGAAAATCAGAGGTCTGTAATTTACTGGATTAGAGGCTGGGAGATAGTCTTTTTTTTTTTTTTTCATTTATCAATTTCCTTTTATTTATTTCTATTTTATTTTTAAAGATTTTTATTTATTTATTTGAGAGAGAGAACGCGCACACAAGAACAGGGTGAGGGGCATAGGGAGAAGCAGACTCCCCACTGAGCAGGGAGCCCAATACAGGGCTCAATCCCAGAACCCTGGGATCATGACCTAAGCTAAAGGCAGACGCTTAACCGACTGAGCTAGGCACCCCTCAACTTCCTTTTATTTATTCAAATATTCATTCATGTCTGCTTGCATTGATTATGTGTAGCAATCTCCATTCCCTATGGTAGACATGTAATTTTAAATATATTTCTTTTTTGTCAGGTGATCATGATTTAGCCATTTAGTAGAACACAAAGCCAATTACGATTGCAAAAAGTACATTTTTATTGATTTTTTAACTGACAAGTAACATCTACTTTGAAGAGAATAGAAATTATCAAGTGATTAAGCTATTAAAGATACTAATATAACTAAATCGTAATGATATCATTATTTTCCAGAAATGTCTTGTTTCCATTCTGTGTGAAAGAATATAGTAGTACACCTTGGTTAGTTTCCATAACATTCTCTTTGTTAATATAGATTGCCTTTGCAAAATTTGACATCATAACATATGAAAAAAGGGGTCTAAAACATTGCTTTATATTTGTAATTTAACATATCTTTGTAATGAAAACTTTTAAGGAACTTGAAACCTACTTTGAGCTATACTGTTTCTTTAAGGGACCTTGGCTTTACTCAAGAATCTTTTTCAAATAAGACACAAAACCAGTACGTTGGAGAAGAACAGAAAGAACATCAGCAGTCTTCGGAAGCTCAAGATAAATACAAACTCTGGCTTCTCAAAGACCGTAATTTAGCGAGGGAGAAAGAGCAAGAGCGGAGGAGGAGAGAAGCAGTAAGTAAATATTAGTTTACTAAATCTAAGGAAAGATTTAACAGAGCAGTATCTTCTACAGGTTCAAAGATACATTCAGGGTAGTTTTCAGTGACTGTGGATTTACATCTTTAGTGAGTATTGAATTCTAAAATCAGAGCCTAAAATATTTTATAGTTAGAGACACAGAGTGTAATCATAATGTATGGTCATGGAGCTACTAGACTATGTAGGTTCAAATCCTAGTTCTGCCATTTACTAGACTTTTGGGCTTGGGCAATTTATTTAACCTCTCTGTGCCTCAATTTCCTTGTCTGTAAAGTGGGAATAATAATACCTGTTGTGAAGATGGAATGAATTTACACGTAGTAATAAACACAAAGGAACATTATTGGCACATAAGTAGAGGGGTTTATCACGTACTGTTATTAACTCTTGAAAAATCCATAAACTATTGATAAATTGTGGCCAAAAGTTATGCCATCTATCCCAGGTCGGTGTTTTAGTTGAACACTAGATAAAGAAGTTGACTTGTATTATAAGTCAATTATATCTTAAATTGGAAAGGAAAAAAAACTGACATGTTTAAGAGTCTTGATATACAGAAAATAATGTTTAAAAACTAGAATTGATTGTTTCATCCATGGATTATTTAGAAGTATATTAGTTTCCAAATATTTGGGAATTTTCTGGCTAGTAATTTCTGTTAGTGATTTCTAATTGAATTCCAGTGTAGTCAAAACTATATAACATCTTAAATTCATTAAGACTTTTTAATGGTCCACATTATGGTCTACGTTGGTAAATATTCTGTGTGCACGTGAGAAGAATGTGTATTCTGCTGTTGAGTAAAAACAGGCCAAGTTGGTTGATAGTGTTGTTCAAGACTCCTATCTATATTCTTGCTGATGTTCTGCCTGCTTATTCTATCAAATATTGAGAGGGGGCATTGCCATCTATGATTATATAGTTGTAGATTTGTCTTTTTATCCTTGTAATTCCGTCAGTTTTATTTCATCTATTTTGAAAGTGTATTGTTAGATATCTAAACATTTAGGATTTTTATGTCCTCTTGATTAATCCCCTTTTCATTACAAAATGATCTTCTTGATTCTTGATGATATTATTTACTCTGAAATTTACTCAGAAACATATCTGTTTCACCTTTTGTATGACTTATATTGGCATGGTGTAAAAAATGTTTTCCTCCTTTTACTTTTAACCTATCTGCATTTTGATATTTAAAGTGAGTTTCATGTAGGCAACATGTGGTGAGGTCTTGCTTTTTTTGTTTTTTTAAATCCAATCTCTGCCTTTTATACAAGTCTTTAGACTGACTACATTCAATATGATTATTGATAGGTTAAGTTTAAGTGCAACATCTTATTTCTTTTCTGTTTGTTCTTGTTAGCTCTTTTTTTCCTACATTCTTCTAATCATGTATTTTTATGATTCTATTTTATTTGCTTCATTGGCTTATTATCAGTAACACTTTGTTATTTGATGGTTGCTTTAGGGTTTGTAATACACACTTTAGCTTAACACATGTTCCTGTGAGTAATGCTATACCACTTTGCATTTGGTAGAATAACCTTACAGCGGTGTACTTCCATTTCTCCCCTCCCAGCTTACATGCTAATGTTTAAGTAGTCAAATTATCTTTTTAAAAATTTTAGGGGCACCTGGGTGGCTCAGATGGTTAAGCATCTGCCTTCAGGTCATGATCCCGGGGTCCTGGGATCAAGCCCTGCATTAGGCACCCTGCTCAGTGGGGAGTCTTCTTCTCCCTCTCCCTCTGCCCTTCCCCCCACTTGTGCTCTCACTCCCCCCACCCTCAAATAAATAAAATCTTTTTTAAAAAGTTCTAAATAAATTAAAATTTTATATTTACCTATGTAGTTACCATTTCCAGTACTCTTCATTCATTTAGATCCAGATTTCCAAATGGTATTAATTTTCCTTTCTCCTAAAGGACTTTTAACATTTCTTGTAGTGTGGGTCAGTTGGTGATGAATTCTTTCAGCTTTTGTATATCTGAAAATAACTTTATTTTATATATCAGTAATAGACTTTATCTTTTAGAACATTTTAGATTCACAGCAAAATTGAGCCCGAAATACAAAGAGTTCCCACATACTCCTCCCATGCCCCCATCAACGCATAACCGTATACACTATCAGCATCCCACGATCCATGAACCAGTATTGACACCACATTGATAACATCACTGTCAACCTTAGTTTCTATCAAGCAAAATCCATAGTTTACTTTAGGGTTCACTCTTTGTGTTGTGCTTTTTATGGGTTTGACAAATATGTAATGACATAGATCAATCATTACAATACCATCAGAATAATTTCCCTTTCTTAAAAGTCCCCTGTATACCTCCTATTAATCCCTTCCAACCACTCGTCTGTTTATTATCTCCATAGTTTTGCCTTTTCCAGAATGTCATATAGTTGGAATCATACAATATATAGCTGTTTCAGATTGGTTTCTTTCACTTTAGTAATATGCATTTAAGGTTCCTCTGTGTCTTTTTGTAGTTTGATAGCTCATTTCTTTTTGTCTGAATAAATACTCCCAGTATATGGATGTATGACTGTTTATCCATTCACCTATTGATAGACATCTTGGTTGCTTCCAGCTTACAGCAATTACAGTAAACACTTGTGTGCAGGTTTTTGTGTTTTAAACTTGCCTTTATTTTTTTAAATATACTTTTTGCTGGATGTAGAATTCTAGATTGTTAGTGTTTTTTCTTTCAGTACTTTAAAGATGTTCTTCACTAGCTTCTTGCTTGCTTTGTTTACAGTAAGAAATTTGGTATCTTTGTTTTGTATAAAACATGCCTTTCGTCTCACTGCTTTTAAGTTTTATTCATCACTGGGTTTTTGTCTGTTGTTTTTGTACTTTGTCGGGCTTATTATTGGAAATGTGTGTTTATAGTTTCCATCAAGCTTGGAAAATTTTTGGCCATTATTTCTTCATATTTTTTCTTTTTCCTCTTTTCCTCCTTTGAGCAATCACTTATTAGGTCACTTGAAGTTGTCCCACACTGATGCTCTTAATTTAAACAAATTTTTTTTCTCAGGATGTCTGGGTGACCCACTTGGTTAGGTGTCCAACTCGTGATTTTGGCTAAGGTCATGATCTCACAGATTGTGGGATCAAGCCCTGTGTTAGGCTCTGCAATCAGCAGGGAGTCTGCTTGGGATTGTCGTTCTCCTTCTGCTCCCTCTGCTCGCTCATGTTCGCTCTCTCTCTCAAATAAATAAATAAAATAATAAAACAATTTTTTCTTCTTTTCATTTTGCTTCAATTCACTAATCTTCAATGTCTAATCTGCTGTTAATTCCTTCCAGTGTATTTTTCATCTAAGACATTGTAGCTGCCATCTTTAAAAGTTCAGTTTGAGTCTTTTAAAAATGTTTTTTGTATTTCTATTAAGTTTTTGAGCAAATGAAATACAATTATAACCTATTTCAGTGGGCTTCCGCTAATTCTGTGATCTCTGTCAGCTCCAGGTGGTTTCAGTTGATTGATTGGTCTCTTTATGGAAATGTTTTTCTGCTTCTTTATATGATAATCATTGATGCCAGATGTTGAGTTTTACCTTCTTGGGTCCTGGATATTTTTGTGATCCTGGGAAAGATGCAGGAATTCATGGGACATTCAGGAATGTAGTTTGAGAAGAAAAAAGCCATTGACTTTGGCTGTATATTGATTATAATACAAATGAATTTACTAAGGAATAATGTACAAAAGTTTTGTCAGCTTCTTATTTTGTAATACTAAGGTAGAAATAAACTGCATTTGGCAGTGTTGTAACATGTGGTAGAGTTTACAACAATGTGGTCTTACAGAAATTTCTAAAGGTTTAAATAACTAAACTTAAACATTTTAATTTAACTTTTTTATATATTTCTTGTATTTTTTTAGGAGCTCATAATTTTTCATTAGTACTTAGCTAGAAGTATTTTCCCTAGTGACTTAGGAATTTTTCCTGTTGGTTCTCACAAGGGCCTCACTTCAGGCACCCATAAGTGATTTCTCAGCAACTTACTTGCTACCTAACAACCCAGTGAGGTAACCCAATATAATTTCTAATATCCTAAGCACTTTTCTGGAACTTGTCTAGACCTGGAATCCACTGAAATGTAACTAACACTGTATCTAGCAGCTTTGATAATAAACAACCTGATCTTGGATCTGCCTACTATCATTTTTGACAACACAAACTCTTATGTTGCTGCTAATTTATAGATCTATTCTCGAAAAAGATAATAACTTGACACCTAGCAGAGCTTCCATGAATTCACCTCATGCCAGTTCCCTTGACCAAGTATTCAATCCTAAATTTGAATGGTTGAGGTGTATATATTAGGTTATGATGATAGCTGCAGGGAGTGTTAGTTATGTAAATCATGGTATCAAAGGTTAGTTGGTGTAGAGAATAACAGTTCCATATCAATAATTATCCCACACATACAGATTTTAGTCAAGATGGAAGACAGTCTGAAATAAAGTACTTTTAAAATAAAAACAAGTTTCATTACATATTATTAGGATTTTGCAGTATGTCTGGATACTTACAGGAATATATCACATGATATTTACATGAGGACAGTGTATCCAACTCTCATATTGGAGGGTTAAAATAGAACTTTGGGGAACTCTCTGGGCTAGACATTTGGCATCCTGAGTTGGCATTAGGAAAGTAGCCTGGATTATGATTTAAGAATTTATCCTTTTATTTCTGTGGCATATTTAAAGCAATATTTGTAGCTTACAAGAGTCACGCTTAACTTTTTAATATCCTTTTGGTAGATAAGTCATAATTTCAAATCATCTCCCACATAGCCAATGGGAATACTGATTCTCATCCAGGAAGTCAACCAATTGGTTGCAGATTGGCACATTTACCTACAACTCTGGGCTGTTACTATTTACTGATTTTAAAAAATGAACAATTTTTAAAGATTTACTTATTTTAGCAAGGAGGGGAGCAGAGGGAGAAGGAGAGGGAATTCCAAGCCAACTCCATCCACACTCAGCGCGGAACCCAAAGTAGGGTTCAATCTCACAACACTGAGATCATGACCTGAGGCTAAACCAAGAGTCGGATGCTTAACCAACTGCGCACCACTGAGGTACCGCAAAAAACATTTTTAAAAATTACAGTTGGGGTCATTTTGGATGCCATCACATGAACATTTAGAGAAGGCTTCAGAATATAAGAAACATTTATTTCCTTTGCCTTATTTATTTATTTTAGATTTTATTTATTTATCTGAGAGGGTAAGAGAGTGAGCAGGGGGGCGGGAGGGGCAGAGAGAGAGGGAGAGGGAGAAGCAGACTCCTCACCGAGCAGGGAGCCCGACTTGGGGCTTGATCCCAGGACCCTGAGATCATGACCTGAGCCGAAGGCAGATGCTTAACCAACTGAGACACCCAGGCACCTCTATTTCCTTTGTCTTAATTAGACTTTTGTTTACTTTAGCTTATTTTTAATGCCTTTTTAGCATTTAATGAACAATGTTGTACTGAGTGTTATACATGCAATTTGGTTTGATTTTCATAAATACCTATATATAAAATAAACTTGGTTAAATAATTTGCCCTAGGTTACACAGTAAGTGGCAGAATCGAGGAAAGCCTGTAGCTTTAATGTTACATATTATAGTTTCCTCAAATAGTTAGAGATACTGGACCATTCAGAAAATAATTTTATGTGTCTAGTGTTATGTTGGTTGTAGAGATAAATGAAACAATATAATCTCAGTTCATGTCCATATTAATATTCTGTCAACACTGAGAGTTTTCTCTCTTATTTGGAGAAATTAAACTTGTTCTTAGTGTTCTTGTAAGTTTTAAGTTTTATTTATCACATGAACAATAATTTAACAAAAATCAGTATTTGAAGAGAAATAGAAAATTACATAAACTCGTTATGTTAAATAAATTGTGTTCATGTTATATAATCTGTTCCAAATGTTGTGATCATTTTTATACAGTTCTAATGAAGGCATAAATTTTTTTTTTAATTTTTTTTTTTTTTTAAGATTTTATTTATTTGCGAGAGAGACAATGAGAGACAGAGAGCATGAGAGGGAGGAGGGTCAGAGGGAGAAGCAGACTCCCCGCCGAGCAGGGAGCCCGATGCGGGACTCGATCCAGGGACTCCAGGATCATGACCTGAGCCGAAGGCAGTCGCTTAACCAACTGAGCCACCCAGGCGCCCCTGAAGGCATAAATTTTTTTAAAGTAACATTGAATTTTTTTCCTTCTTTCTACAGATGGCTGGTACCATTGATATGACTCTTCAAAGTGACATTATGACAATGTTTGAAAACAACTTTGATTAAAACTTATTAACCATCAACTTAAAATGAGTGATCTAAAAGATTAAAATGCATATGGTAAAATGATTGCTTTCAAACACCAAGATACCAATCTTATATTGTATTTTGACTGCTCTAAAATGATTAAACAATTTTCACATATATTTTTAATAGCTATATGTTCATTTTCTAAATGGTATAATTTACAGGAAATTTTATAATTTTGGATCTGAAGTCTTCTCTAAATGTTCATGTGAATTGAATAAATTCCCAGATGCTATTCATTTTATAAATAATTGTCTGCTATGTATTATAGGCCCTGTCTACGCAGTGAAAATCCAAGAGATAGCCCCTTCTTGTTTAAAAATGAAATATATATAAAAGTGTATCAAAAACAGCCCCTGTTGAGTTTTTAACTTTTAAAACAAATACCTATCTGCCTTAAAATATTTAGAATCTCTAACAAATAATACTTGTTTTTTTTCTGTCAGGTTATGTAAGATTCTCTGCTGATTCTGTTTGCAAAATTTATATTGAAATTTAGTTTAAAGAGAATGTTACCTATGGTTTGGATGATGTTAAATTTGAGCAAAATAATAGTAAATATTATGATGTAAGTTTCTATAGGAACTTATACAGTTCTTAGATGCATATGTGATAGCATTGAATGTTTACATTTTTATTTAACTATGTAGTCTTTAAATCTGTAAATTATTTTTGTTTCATCATTCTCAAGTTGCAATTATGTATAAATCATGTGTATCCACTTCATATATTTTAACATTTTGGACTCTTGAAGTGTAACATGATTCAGGCCCCTTTATAATACCATCTAAAGTAAAAATTCAAAGTGAGTGTGTATTATAGAGAGAAAGAGAAAAAGTTTTCTTGACTTCATTTGTTTTTATAATCAATATAATTTTTTTGAAATAGCTACATGACAGCCATTTTAAAAATATGATCAATAGTGGCTAAAATGGTGGTGAAACCTTCATGAAACATAGCTAGACTTAAAGTGGTAGTCATACCCATTCAACTATAGCTTTTTTTTTTTTTTTAGATTTTATTTATTTGAGAGAGAGAGAGAGCACAAGCCAGAGGGAAGAGGCAGAGGGAGAAGTAGGCTCCCCACTGAGCAGGGAGCCTGATATGGGGCTCGATATGGGGCTTGATATGGGGCTTGATCCCAGGACCCTGGGAGCATGACCTGACCAGAAGGCAGATGATTAACGGACTGAGCCACCCAGGCGCCCTTCAACTATGGCTATTTTTAAGAAAGGAATTAGTATGTATATACTAAGTAGTTTGCATTGTTATTTTCCTAAAAGATCATCATAGATTAGATTTATCTCTATATTTTAGCATATATATATTTTTAGGACGATACATCAGATGCACATAGTGGTTAGTTCTAGGTGATGGAATTACAGGGTGTTTGTGTTTTTCATTTAAGACATTTCAGTATTTTCTGGTTCTTTTTAATATTATGTAATACTTTTAAGATCTGTGGGAAATTTTCCATTTTGAAGAGAGAATGAAAATAGTAAGGATTTACTTCTGTCAAATACACATTAAATCTTTCAACAGCTGCCTTTAAACAACTAATAAAATTGATGAATCAATGAGCTTTGGCTACATCTGAAAAAAGAAAATTCAGCTTTATTAACATCTTTTTATATTAAGGAATAATGTCTTACTTGAGGTTTTCCTCTTAACATTTGGAGGAGCCCTGATAGAGAGCTGTGTTATGATTATCAGTGTTTTGTTTAACCAGCTTAACATTTAAACTTTGCTCAGTCAACAAACTTTTTGGTAGGTTGGCTGAAGTCAGTTTAGCAGAGAAAATATCTATAAGTGATCCTTCCTATATTATGCTTTCTTTTTTGGTAAAGGTTTTTTTGGCTTTTCTTCTTGTGGAGTTTACTTCTGTTAATTTTATGCATGAAATACTGCATGTAACTTATTTGCCTTCAACTCAAGCCTGGTTTTGTGAGGACCCCTTTTCTGTCCAACTCTCACTACTCTCCAACTTCTAAAACTTTTTCATAGTGTTTTCTGGGATTCTTAATTGGTCATCAAAAACATTCCCTATGTGATCAAACTTACTGTTTGTTTTTTCCCTTTTTTTGTTCTTGAGTTGTTCTGGAAGTGTGGTCCCTGGACCAGCTTCATCAGCATCATCTGAGAAGGTTTTAGAAATGCAAATTCTCAGACTTCAGAATTACTGAATCAGAAACTCTGATGTAGGGTTTAGCAGTCTTTAGTTGAACACTCCTTCCAGGTGATTCTAATACCAGCTTGAGAATTTGAGAATCACTAACTGAACCTGGGCTCTCTGCTGTAGGCTCTCATTTAGTGCCTCTTTCTTTTCACTAGTGTTTTTCTTAACTTTGGGGTGCCATTTGCAGACTATCCTCCCCTCTACCCCCCACCTTCTTCCCTAAATACCCCCAGCTTTAGGTTTTTCATGATCATAAGACTATACCACCCTTATTCATTTACCATCCCTGGATCACTCCTTCTTCCCCAGAGATTTTAGTCTCTCACTATTTCTAATTGACACTTGTCAATGTCAGTTGAACTCTCTGCTAATGATCTTAATAGCTAATCAACTTTAGCCATTCCTTGTCATTGCCAATAACTAAAATCTTTCCTTAGTCTCAATTTCAAGCAAGCTCTTACTACTTCCTCATATCTTTTTCTAGCTTTCTCCAGATAGGCCCTTGACTCCAGCAATCATTAGGCCTCACCACAACCTTACAATCCATTAATCCTAGTGCTCTTCATAGTACCTCTCCCCTTAATGGCCTCTTTCCTTATGCAAGTTTGTTGTGCATTATTATTTATAACCACTCCCTTGCATATACCCTCAACTCCATTGCTCCTTTCTTTGTTGTATTCACTTGACAAAACTCAAATCCTTATTAAATCTGACTGCCTGCTCTGCACCCATGAAGCTGTTTGTGGTTGCAGAAACACATGCAACCAGGATAACCAGTCTCACTTCAAATTCATGAGCATAAACTCAAGTTAGCCGTAATGCTGCCCAGAAATCTTACTACCAATGTATAGTAAGAAAAAATTTCTCTCCTCCCTATCCCAACTATTGAGAGATCAAAACTTGTATATTTTTCAATCTTCTTTTTAAAGGATTTTATTTATTTATTCATGAGAGAGAGAGGCAGAAGGAGAAGCAGTCTCCCAGCTGAGCAGAGAGCCCAATATGGGCTAGATCCCAGGACTCTGGGATCATGACCTGAGCCAAAGGCAGATGCTTAACTGACTGAGCCACCCAGGTGCCCCTATTTTTCAGTCTTTTTATGCTCATCCACATATTGGCATTTCAGGACTTTGAGGGGGTTGTTTTTACAAAAACATGATCCTTTATACATGTTACTTGGCGATTGAGTTTTTTTTATGATTTTTTTTTTTTTGAGAGAGAGCACATGAGAGGGAGGAGGGTCAGAGGGAGAAGCAGACTCCCCGCCGAGCAGGGAGCCCGATGTGGGACTCGATCCAGGGATTCCAGGATCATGACCTGAGCCGAAGGCAGTCGCTTAACCAACTGAGCCACTCAGGCGCCCCGGCAATTGACTTTTTCTTAATGCATCAGGACCATCTGTCTAGGTCTTTAGATGGATATAGATGGATTCATTTTTTGTATTTTTTTAATTTAAATTCAATTAGTATATAACGTATTATTGGTTTCAGAGGTAGAGGTCAGTGATTCGTTAGTCTTACGTAATACCCAGTGCTCATTACATGATTCATTTCTTTTTTAAAAGGCTGCACAACATTCCTTAGAACAGACGTATCATGATTTATATAATCCCCTATTGATTCAGTTAATTCCAGTCTTTCTCTACTGAACAAAGCTGCAGTAAATATACTGTGTATATAGCCTTACATAATTGTGCTGCTATTTCTAAAGAGTAGAGCTTCTAAAATAGGGTTGCTGGGTCAGAAGTTACAGTCAAAGGGAGTAATTTTTATTTTAATAGGAGGTACCAAATGACTTTTCCAAAAAACTTTAGAGCAGGTCACATTCCTAGGAGTCTGAAAGTACCACTTTACCATTATCCTCACCAGCATTGGATATTTTTTTTTTTTTTTTTTTTTTCCAGCATTGGATATTACTGCCCTCATTTTCTTTGCTAATCTGAATGAAAAGATTATAATCAGTTTCTTTACTTTTTCTCTCCCGGACTTCAAGTGGGGTTGATCTTAAATCTGTTAGCCGTGTGACTTGCCTAGTAACCAATATCCTTTGGAAATTCTTTTGGTTTATAAGTTTGTACAAAGTCCCCCCCCCCCTTTTTTTAGATGGTTCAGAAACACTTTTTCACAATCTACTGTTTGTCTTTTGAGATTTATTGCCTTTTTTCCATTAAAATTTTAAATTTTATGTAGTCGTATGTCTGGATTTTCCTTTATAGTGTCTGGCTATTCTACCTTGTTTTGGATTGTATTCCCCACATTAAGATGGTAAAACAGTCTTTATTTTGCACTTAAAATCCAGATAATTAATTTTTACACTAAGATTCCAGATGGATTAAAGACATTTTTATAAGAGATAGGGAACCAGATTTCTTTTTTTCTAAATGAACTCTCAGTTATACTGCACAATTTACTTATTGAACCTCTGAATTGCAGTAGTTGTCATTCTGTAAGAAATTCATAATCACTTTATCCAATTTTTAGAAGTTGAGTGAAATTGAACATTAGAATTTTGATTGGGATTAGATTAGAATTAAATTTAGAGACCTACCAATTTTGTTTCTAGTATTACAAATAAATCCTGCATGGGACCCATTTTTTAAGGCATTGCCAGTCTCCAAGGCAGAAGAAGCTCTCTCGGGAACACCGCACACACATGCACGCGCACACACACACACACACACATGTAGTTGGGAGGAGAGCAGTAAGCAACAGATGGTGGGGCTTTCTTGAGCTCAGATGCTAGCAGTGTTATTGCTAATTGTGCCATGGGCCAGTGTTGAAGGTCTTCAAGAGGATGAAGTGGTCCCAGGTTGGCTAGAGGCATAAGCAGGATCACCACAAATTAAGGTCAAGAAATTAGCTATCAAAGATGGATGATACAAAAAAATCAAGCCACAATGAGTGAGATTAGCATAAACAATGAACAACACACAGAAAATAAT